TTTCTTGACGTATTATTATTAATTGTCATTTAAAATTGAGTTGTGTGCGCGCGCGCATCCGTTTTTTTCAATAATTTCAACTTTTTTAAAAGTCAAGAAACCGTAAATGTCCTTCGTTTAGACTTGTCAGGAATTTAATTATCCATTTGCATCAAAATTTTCCTCCAAAACTTTGGAAAAACGAAAAAAAACGTCGCCATTTCCTAGACGACCTCCAGCAACTGCTCACTAATGGCTGATAGTGTTCAATGCTCAGCCAGTCAGATTACAGCATTTGCATTAGTATACTAGTAGAATTCTACTAATGTCTATTAGTATTAGTATAAATACGAAATGAAATGAAATAAGAAATGAAATAAGAAATGAAATGAAATAAGAAATGAAATGAGCATCTTGTCCCTATAAAATAGTCTGTTTCCAATAAACACCTTCCCCTCCCCTCCCTTAAGCTGCCAAAATTTAACCACCAGACACTAAGCCGACATGCGTACAAATTGCCCACCTATTTTTTGTTTCTGAGTGATACAGGTTCTGGTTAAAATGGCAGTGATTATTTGTTCAATTATAGCATTGTCAATCTCTCTTAAAAAAACAAAACAAAACAAAACAACCAACATATGAATACTGTCAGAAGTAACAGAGCAATATGAGGATGAATGATCTCTTCTTTAAAATTAAAGTACACTGTCCTGAATAAGTGCCCTGCCCTGAATAAGCACCCTGTCCTAAATAAGTGCCCTGTCCTGAATAAGCACCCTGTCCTGAATAAGTACCCTGTCCTGAATAAGCACCCTGTCCTGGATAAGTGCCCTGTCCTGAATAAGCACCCTGTCCTGAATAAGTGCCCTGTCCTGTATAAGCGCCCTGTCCTGAATAACTGCCCTCCCTTGAAGTAACAAAAGTAAATAAGCACCCCAAATTCTGATTCGATCATGCATGCATGAAGACCAGTTAAAGCTAATGTGGCTAAGTATTAATAAATTATTATTATCAATTGCATGTACAAGGTATAGCAAGATTTTTTTTTTTTTGAAACATCACCTAAATATTCTTTACTGAATGGGTTTATTCAAACAGTAACATTTCTGACAGAAAATTCAATTTAACTAATGGACACCATTTGCCACTTGAGATGGCCTCCAGTTTTGTTCTTGATAAAGTCAACCAGCTGACTAATATATTTAAGAAGTAGACATCCCGGAGAAAATATTCATATTTAGCATGATAAAATCCAAAAATTATATCACATAAATACAAGTTTTCTTCCGCAATATCTCAAAATCTCATTTGACATTGGAATATAACCTCGGAGACAATATAATTTCTAAAACTTTAAAATAATAAAAAATGTACATGTAAATTCTGATCGTGTAGCAATGGATATTGATTCAAAATTTATTTATACTTACTTCCCGAAGCAGTCAATTTTTATTGTTTCTTAACCTTTTTATAACAAATTAAAGGTGCCAGATTTTGAGAAGAAAGGATCTAATCATCTCAGACAATATGAATGCATATTAAGGAATTATACTGACCCTGCAAGTACATTAAAGTGTTAATAATTCTCATGCAGTAAAACATTCTTTGACTGCTAAAGCTATTTGCTTCACACAGTGCTCAATTGTAGGACCATCATGGAATGCAAAACTGAGTCTCATGCAGTTCTTATATTGCCTTTTAGAAGAAAAACCTGAGCCCTTGTTGAAGTCAACACTATATTTATTCAAACATACATCATAGACTTTGTCGCAGTCCACTTCAGAAGGAAAAACTACCCACACAAAGTAACCTCCCCGGGGTTTTGTGTACGTAACTGAACAAGGAATGTATTCATCCAGGGCATTACAAAGTGAATTAAGTCGAGAATAATAAACCTCCCGAACATAAGCTAAGTGCTCCTTTACCAAACCCATTTGAATGGCAGTGCTAACAATACAAGATGTGTAATGGTTGAAACATCCTCCGCTCTTTGCATAGCCGGTTGTATGCAAAATCCTTCCTACATGTTCAGGTACTTCCATCCATCCAAGGCGCAAACCAGGCCCCAGTATTTTTGAGAAAGTTCCATTTGAAATCACATGACCCTTGTAATCAGGATCAGTCTTGTTGTCAAATGAGAAGAGCCTCGGTGGCGATTGAAATGGTGGCCTGTCACCCATGTAAGAAAGCAAGTTGTAGACATCATCACAAAAGGCCAGCACGTTGTACCGTCGGAGCAGTTTAATCAGTTGTTTACATCTTTCTGCTGAGAGCACAGAGCCAGTTGGATTGTTAAATGTAGGGATGCAATACAACATAGCAGCAAATGGTTTATTACCAGCTGGGACTGGTGCTGTCAACAAATGTTCAGCCATCATTTTCTCAAGCTCATCAATAATCATTCCATCTTGATCAGTTGGAACCCCAATCACATTCATTCTATAGTCCTCTTGCAACACTGTTAGACCAATAAAATATGTAGGTTCTTCAACAAAAGCCACAGTTCCAGGCTGAAAGAGGAGATTTCCTATGCATGCAAGGCCCTGTGAAGCACCAGCAGTGACCCAGATATCTTCACAGCCCACTTTATCGCCATACTCTTCACTAAGGAACTTGGCTAGCTCATTCCTGACTGCTAAACTACCATTGTGCGGTCCATACTGAAATAAATCAGCATAATTTTCTGGGGTGTGTAGTGCCTGTGATGCTTTGTGAATGAGCTCACCACACTTGACCCGTAGGTCTTCACTAGGGGATCCTACACGCAGTGTGGAAACTTTCCTGCCATCTCTTTTAAGGTAGTCAAACATTGTAGTCATCTTGAAGATTGTGTATCTAAGCTGATGAGTAAAAGGAATAAAGCTCAGTAAGGGGCCATTCAATTTTAATTTCACATTGTCCCACCCCACGCCCCCACCCCAACCTGTCCACAAGTCAAATTCTAGCACTAATTTAACAAGTCATAAATAAATTAATGGATAATCAATACGGAATTAATCTACGATCTTCTTCTTTGTGGAGGCGCAGTGGCCTCATGGTTAGTGTGCTCGACTCCAGATTGAGTGGTCCAGGTTCAAGCCCTGGTCAGGGACATTGTGTTGTGTTCTTGGGCAACACACTTTGCTCTGACAGTGCCTCTCTCCACCCAGGTGTACAAATGGGCCCAGTGAATTTAATCCTGGGGGTAGCCCTGCAATGGACTAGCATCCCATCCAGCGGGGGTAAAAATACACCTAGTCGCTTCATGTTACAGAAACCGGGATAAGCTCTGGCCTAGTGGGCC